GTTAACGATCCCGAAGAGCTGTTGTTTCACTAATTGTAAAACAAAATTAGTTATACATTAATAAGCGTTATCTTGGTGAGAAAAAAGAATGAAATAATCTGGTAAAGTGGGAACCGATTCAGAAACTTCCATTATTCGAAAATACAATGTACATTGTTACGATAAAGAATCGTACGCAATTTCGGGATACAATAGCACGAAAAGGAAACATGAAAACGAAGAAGAGAGAAAGAGAAAAAAATAAATAAATAAAAATAATGTATAATATATACGCTTTCTTAATGTTGCAAAATAATTCTTTAATTGTTTATTCATTTCTTGTAAACGCGCACACATATATTATCAACGAATGAAACAATAATTAGAAATTGGAGATACATGAACTAGCAGTTCGAAGAGAGACTGCAAAACAGGTTAATTAAATGCTCACCATTATCCATTTAATTGTAATTAATTGACGAGAACTTTCAATTAATTTCGAAGGAAAGTTAGATCCACGTTGGTTATTGTTAATCGATTTTATCAAATGTAGATCGATATGCAGTTATAGATTTTCATATATGCGATGATGATCCGTAAGCAGATTACGACTATTAATTACATTTAATGGACTTTAATGATCGGAACGATCTTTGTATTTACATATCTGTGCATTCTCGATTTTATTTTTGGTAAACACATTATGGATATAAATTTTATTCAAATATGATTACAGAAAACAGAAGATGAGTTAACAAAATATTATTCGTTTTATAGAATACACACATCTCTTCATCGAAAATCGAATATTTGGTTGGTTATATTTCGTAATATAGTTTTCAATTTTCTCTTCGTTTGCTGTTCTTTTTTTTGTATTTTCATCTCCATACATTTTATTCTTATCATTCGGTGACTCATTATTTTATATATTGAAACTAACAAAATTAATCTTCTTATTTTTCTAAGCATAACATTAAACACTTGTATATTTTTTACATTAGAAAAGCGTTCTAATTGCAATTTCTAATAAATAATTTGCTGTCTTAGCTGGTTTGAATTTAGCTGAGCGTATATAAATAGGAAGTTAATCTATTATATATATTAGTGGTTAGTTTCTATGAAACTTGGTGCATATCTCGCATTATAATCATTATATATATTAGTTCTTTTCTTTTTTCGTAAACTCAGTTTAAAATAGACATTTAAATAATGATTATGAAAAATATAAATATAAATAAAGATATTTTTTTAAATTTGTTTAAAATACAATTAGACTACTATATATACATAATTAATCAACAATAGATAAGTATTCTTACAAATGAGAAAAAACGAACAGAGGATCACGTCGAACGTACATTCCATATTATTATTTCAATATCAATAAAATTCGTCCCAAATTAAAGCGAATAATTTTTGAGAGATATAAGAAAAACTTCGGAGAGATAATTAATCGAGAACAATTCTCGCAAATCAGAACAATAATTATAATATCATTGTATCGGTAATTAAATGTTCCTATAGAGAAAATAGTGATGAAATTCGTTCGATTGATGTGATATGTGTCGTGTATATATATTGGGAATATATAAAAAAATAGTATAAAAAAAAAATCAACGAAAGAGAAGGAAGGTAAAAGAGATAGGAAGGGGAAATAAAAGAAAAGACAGGGAAAAAAATGGGAAGAGAAGAAAGAAATTATATATAGGTAACGGAAATCAGGGAACTAGAATGATCCCGGTTTTACATACGGAAATCGGGCATTCGCCCAGGAGTTGCATATACTACGTATGCATTTCGGACGCATTTCGAGCACTGCAATGTGGTCCGGCAGCCTGAATTCAGATGGCTACCACACGATTGCAGCAACGTATGATCCATCTCGGTTGATTCTCCGGTACCCCCTGGCAATCCCCAACTAGCCAACACCGTCAAACCCCTTCCTCGTCTATCACACGGCCCCATCTCTATCTAACACTGGCCATGCGGCTACCAGACTAGCAGCTTTCATTGCCGTTGCCATTGGTATATACGGTCCATAGGCGTAGTACCAAAGCATTAAACAAAAACACGCAAGCAGAGATATAATCGTGGTCACAATGAAACTTACTCTCTTCCTTTCTCTTTCACCCTTTCTGTCTCTCATTTCTCTTTCTCTGGTTCATTCGTTCGTTCGTTGTGATTTTACAAATAATACAATGAAAAAAAACCTTCATAGAGTATATACTCCGTTTTGAAATCTTTTGTTTTATTTATTAAAACTCGATTTATTTCTCTTTTCATTTCATCAAATTATTTTTTCTACGACGTTTGTGTGTTAAAATAAGTTTATTTCGTTTAATTGTAAACTTTGTTTTTTTTTTCTTTTAGATCTTACTTCGTGAGAATAATTTTTAAGTATTCTTTTCGTTCGCCGTTTTAATGACGTTTTGAAATTCAGAATAATTTACTTTTTAACAGAAAAATTCTCAGTTAAGAATGCCCATAGATTAATTAGTGCAACGTTTATTGAAAGAAAAAAAAAATATAAGGCAGGAGAGAAGGGATCTCCTTAATTGCCATAGCGAGACATCCTAAGTTTCGTAATAACCAAGCCGTGCCGAGGTTATAAGTAATGAATCCAGATGTCGTCGACAACGAAACGTCAGGTGGAAAATGACAAAGGTCTATGTAAAATTTCAATTCCATTCGTCGTCTGCGTCACAGTCGTGGAAAAGATAATGGATTCGGCTTTCATTGGTTAAAGTTTCTGCGCTCGGATAGGACGAACTTTTTATTTCAATGAATATCGGGGTTAATTTTATTTAGGACGAGAGCTAACTGAACTTTCGTCCCGCTTTTTTTCCTCGGACAAATCGTTTTTTTCAATCGCGATGGATTTTTATTTTATTCTATTGTATTTTCTCTTATTATTTTCTTTCTCTTTTCTTTTCTCTTTTTTTTCATTTGCAAAAGAGCTCAATCTTTTTATTTGAATTGATATCGTTATTCAAAGTGGCTCGTAGGTACTATATGTACAAACATTTATTCATACATACATATATAAATATATAATATATATATATGCATATGAGTATATGGATAAATATTACATATATTATACAACGACAATACTAACCATACTGAAATGTCGGTACGGTCGATTCATATTTCGTTAATATTATCCGACGAGATTTAATTAGGAAATGTCGTCCTTTCGTTTGCCCTCGAAACCATGCTACTAGCACGACGGGAAGTAGTATAAAGTTCTCGTATACCGTTACAGCTACAACACTTAAAAGGACGTTAAGCGTCGAGCCGGTGTCACGACCTAATTTCGATGTACTGCTGATGAGGAAATAAAAGTCTTTCATAGGACGAGGCACGAATAAAGAAGGAGTAACTGCGTGGAACGAAATTGGTAATGCAAACATCTCTTTCTCTCTCTCTCTCTATCTCTCTGTTTCTCTGTAGATAAAGAAAGAAAGAAAAACAGCAAGAGAATGAGAGAAAGGATGAGATAAAGAGACACGGGACTTCTTAAAGAATATCTTATAGTTAAGATTTCGTAAAGATTAAATACCCCTTAGCTATTGTCAATTTCAACGAAATTTACTCGATTTCATGAGGACGAATCGAGTTGGTTGAATTCAAACATAAAACGATCTTAAATTTTATAACTCGGTGAAACGAGCTGGAAGTTTGCGAGCGTCGGGAAACATCCAGCTTTTAAAAATGGTCTTGAAAGCGTCCTGAACAGAATTTTCCTCTCTCTCTCTCTCTCCCTTTCTCTCTCCCTCTCTCTCATTTTCTATCATAAAAGATTTTCGATCGACGCGTCGTTCCTCGAATAATAACCTTTCGCCCGTACTCTTCCTATCAAGCTGATGGAGATGAGTTTGATGGCAGCGGCATTGTTTTATGCAACGAAATGTCGACCCAATTTCGATATTGCATCAACGTGCTAATAAAGATGAAATGCGTGTGGATATGTAAAGAAGAAAAGTCGTATGGCTTTTACAAAACTGAACGTGTTTTTACAAAAATAACACAACGAAAAACATTGAAATAGACAATAATTAAGAATTTTGTATATATGTTTCGTTATTTTTATTTTCCTATTAACTGGTTCCTTGGATATTTTCTGATACAACGAGTTAAATTTAGTTGAAAACATTGAGACTGTTTCTAATAGACAGATATAATAGAAAGATTACATGTGTGTTAATTATTTCTTGATATATACTGCTAGTTTCTATATAATCGTTTCGTTTCAAGTATTTTGTAAGTATCTTTAATGTTACGAATCATATAAGAAAGTTTTCATAAAAATTACAGTTTCTGATGTTAATCGAACTAATCCGTAAAGAGTAATTCAAAGTAGATTTCAAAATTTGTTCGTATTGCTTGCAGCTATTGAAATCAAACATTTTATTATTTTCTCATAATTAGAGAAAGGTCTATATGCAAAAAGATATCGTAAAATACTAATTGTAATCTTTATGGTTGGGGTTAGGGAACCTTATCAATCTACGTCCCTGAAAAAATTATACAACATCTGACGAAGCACGACGTTAATTAGTCGTCAGAAAATAATTAATTGTTAGTTAATTTTATGTTCTCTATTTGTTATAATTTAAACTTCATATATTGTTATCAAATAATTTTATATGAATTTCATTAATTTGCAACGCGTAGTAATATAAATTTACATTCAAATATACCGTATGTGTACGAATCAATATGAAACATTAAAAATGCGAAAATGTATATTTATTGATTTTAACGCGGTAATTGATAAAATAATAAACATTATTAGAAGAATCTAAAAGATTTGATTTATCATGTTTCCTATTTGGAATAATCTGACGTAAAATTTCAAACTTTGCATTCTTTAAATATACGACAATGTTTAACACGTTCCGTGCCACGTGTATGTATATTAAATACAAATTAGTATGATTCATTGTTGATTTTAATGACAATTATCAAGGATTATCTATTTATAAATAAACTAAAGAATAATAATAAAATTGTTTCAGTGGCTTGTTCAACGGTGACGGTGACAAAGTGTCGTTCAGCACTTCATAGTCTGCAAGCTTTCTCGTTCTTTCGACCCACGTGTCTTTGTAAGGAACGGCACGTCGATCCAGATTGCAATAGTTTCCAAAATTTCCTCTTCGATCATCCCTGCATCGATGTACAGAAAAAAGGTAAGTCATTTCTTTTCGCACAACACAAAATTTTATCAAACGATGTTAATACCTCGTGTTAAATAGGCTTTCATTTTACATTCACAATCTTAACTTTCTCTCTAATAACCAACGTCATATAAACTTTGATATTATGCACCTCGTGTATCTGTAATTTCCAAGGCTTATTTCATTTTTTGTCATCAAATTAATTGTTGATTAATATAATATTCAGTACCGAGTGAAAGTATTCGAACAAACTAAATTTTTAATTTACGATAAAATGAAATAGCTTTCAATATAAATTGAAGTTCATTTAACCCTTCGTCCGTAAACGTTTTTTTGGCACTTTACGTCAGTAAACGTTAGTCTTTCACGTCCGACTGTTTTTTTGCCCTGTTAATGTACTCAAAAAATTGTTTAAAAATTCATGCAAATGCTCGAAACCTTCAACTTGATATATCAATCCTAAAATTGTCGAAAAATTTATTTTTGCATATATTTTTTTTTAAACAAATGGAATGACTCGATAAAAAGCAATAATTTACTGAAAAAATCGTAACTTTTTGAAAAGTTAAGATATCATAATTAAAAAAAAAAACAAATTAAAGTTTAATATTACGGTTTTTCGAAAAAAAATATTTTGTTTCATTTATTTAATATTAAATGCTTAAGTTTAAATAGGTACAAAAAAAAACATGTATTAAGAATTATTATTGACATCATGTATTAGTATTGACATATTTTATTGTCAAACAATATCAATTTCATTTTCACTGTCTTTGCCTTCAAAATATGAAATTATTTCTCGTTGGCGAAGTATACGCGCCACGTGCTCAGCCGATCGTTGTTCCATTTTGAGCTAATAACAGTGAGAGAAATATATGTGATTTTTTTTCTTATTTTGTAGCTTCACTTGTGCAAAAAAAAACGTTACAACGAAAATAAATTTTTTCACTTGCCTGTGAGTTCAGTACACGCTGTTCGTAAACGGGGATCTCTGGGTTTGATCTGCTCACAATAATTCTACAAAAGGAACTGAAACCTTTATCCTTGGATGTCTGCTCCTATACGTACATACATAATTTTAGGTGGGGGTATTAGCTTTGTGTATTCACTTCCTAGAAAATTATTTTTCAAAACAGTTTTGGCTCGGACACGAAAGACCCATGTTTATCGACGAAGGTTTAAATTCAAAATAATATTTCAACTAAAATCAATGCAACATGCGTATTTTATGATTATTTTTTATATTACAGATCTATATGCTACAATATATTTACTTAATATTTTAATTCAAAAGATATATCGTAAAAATGAAAAAGCATCATACATTATAAAGATGTACATATAATATTATATTATCGAAAAATTAGATTTGTATCAATACTTTTATTTATCCTACATGATATAATATAATCCATAAATATTACTACGTGATAATAACAATTATAAACCAATAATTATCACTGTCTCGTCTTTATTGCAATCAAATATAAGTTAAAATTTAAATTTCATGTTATTTTGTTTTTATATAAATACATGTAAAAAATAAAAATTGTTAACAAAAGGTTAAGAATATCCTTTCAATTAATCATAGAAAGATCGAAAGTAGATAATATATATGTGTATTTACTTTCACATTCGTGATGGTTTGTCATGGTAAATTCAATAATGGCTTTAAAGCTTAGGAAACTTCGTAATCCTTGCGAAAGCCTACGGTCGAGCGAGAGGTATCAACTACACCGTCATAACAAACGATGTCGCAGCACTTTCGAGAGAACTTCTCCGGTTTCCTCGCGACATCCTCTTCCGCTCTTATAGCCCCAGCCCCTTTCGATATCTCCAAGGAAGAGTAGAGACAAGAAAACTTGTAACGATCCAAAGACCAAAAGCAAGTTGTTGGACAACGCGTATTGCGAAATCCCGCTTGCGTCGCATTCTCTCATGTCTTTTGATATCGAGTTCGAATCTCGCGTTCGAAATAAAATTCGAAAAAAGTACAAAGTTCTACGAATGTCCTTATATAATAGAAGAACATTTTCTTTATTGTTTCTTTTATCAAAATTAAACTAATCCACACATTTTTTTAATTTATTAATTCTCCCTTTCGTGCGTGTTTTATAAATTTTGTAAGAAAATAATACTATTTATTTTAAGTAAATATTAAAGCAGACATAATGGAGAAATCACATTATCATAATGTATTTTTATATTAAATTTAATGACGACAAAATGTTTTGCGCATATGTTACATTGAATATTAAATTATAGTAAACATTAATATTTTTTATTGCGCAATATCTCATTCATTATTTTTTTTTTTCAAAGTTAAACAATTTATTGTTCAATTAAACGTTAGATTTATCGTTAACTCGAAAAAGTATTATACGTGGTACAAATATTTCTATTTGGTCAACAATATTTTATCATTTAAAAATATACTTCATGATCTGCGGTTTATTAAGAAACTGTTTAAAGCTTAACCTTCAGTTGTTTTGCTTTAGTAATAGAACTTCATTAAAACTTGAAGGAAGGAATGATAAACGAAATTAGAGTAATTCGTTAAAGAAATTGGAAATAACATTGCATCCAATGGTTAAGTAGGATCTTTCAAGCCGTTAGGAATTAGAAGTCTGCTGCCATTAATGTTGATTTAACGAAAGCTACTCGTATCTTTGTGCGTGTAACATATTTTACCTTTGTATACCTTACCCCGGCAAATTTTATTTTAGTTCTTTTATTTCTTGTCTTCTATTTTTTTTTTCTTCCTTTCTTCTCATCTCTTTTTTCATTCTTTATTTTTTTCTTCTTCTTTCTTTTTTTTTTTCTTTTTTCTAAAAGAGTACCAGACCGGATTTAATCTCATTAAGTGCCGAAGCTTCTAGGTTTCGTAGTAGCTGCGGTACCGGCTGTGGCAGCTTTTATTATCCACTGGTCTTTCTTTCTCTCTCTTTCTCTCTCTCTCTCTCTCTCTTTCTCTTGTATGAACGGCTTTCAGTAGCAAGGCGTGCGGCTCATGGTGTAAGATAAAAGTAATTAAGTCGTGACCCAAGGCTGACTAATTGCACGATTTATTATTCTCGAGTGTTTCTTCTCGTTCACGTCGAAACTCGTGATTGCATTGTGATCGAAAATATAATTCGAATTTTTATTTCTATTTTATTTCCTATCTATCTTCCTCTTTCTCTCTTTCTTTTGTTTACTTTTTCAAAGGAAACTTGAAAAGTACTTCGTAGGCACGCAATAAGCTAGGATAATAACAAGAAAATATGTATCAATTGAAATTCTAGTCTCGTGTTAATGTCTACAAATGTAATCAGCAGTTAGCAGGTAGTTCTCTGTTTACGTTTTGATTGTACTCTATTGAATAAAGGAATATAATTTTGGAAATAAAGTTTAAAGAAAGAAAGGAAGGAAGAAAGGAAGAAAGTAAAAAAAGAAAAACGAACAAATTAAGGAATTAAAATAAAATGAAACGAATCGAATAAAGATTACGATTCTTGGTTGAAAATTCTTCGAGAAATCGATTTAAAGTACTTAGCGGAGAACGATTGAAATGTCGGAGAAGTTCGGCCGATCGCAAGTCGTCGAATGAAAGAAAGGATGAAAAGAAAGAAAGAGTAAGGGTGGGTTAGACAAGAGGAATGAAGAAAAAGAAATTCAATCGCTTTACTTGCACCATAGCAGGATGGCTAATAGCTATGGCGTTGAAGTTAACGATCCCGATAATCGGACGCGCGTCTTCTTTCACCCTTCTTCATGAAGCGTAAGAAAAGAGATCGAGAGAGGGAGAGAGAGAGAGAGAGAGAGAGAGAGAGAGAGAGAGAGAGAGAGAGAGAGAGAGAGAGAGAGAGAGAGAGAGAGAGAGAGAGAGAGAGAGAGAGAGTCAGAGTAAGAGGGGGTGGAAAGATAAAGGGACAGATAGAAAAGAGAGGGTAGAAAGATCCCTAGAGATATCGGTCTCCAAGATCTTCCAAGCAGGATTTTTCTTTAAAAGCCAACTCTGACTGCTCAGTCGGTTCTTTCGGAGAAGAAACAAAAGAATCGAGATTTCTTTAACTGCGTATCCTTACATAGATATCCTTATATAGCTATCATTATAATATATAACTATGTATATATGTAGAGTGTCCATTTTAATTTGACTATCTTAAATATCTTCTTAGTTTTCTATCATAAGAGAAAAAATACGAGTTTAATGATCTTGAAGAAATTCATTTTGATTTCATTACGTTCAGAGATGTATTTTAATATATGAAAGATTATTTAATCAAAGATCATCAAAAACTATGAAAACGATCAATACAGTTACAACTAAATCATGTATACTCTTTATATAATACTTATATAATATGTATTTATAGAGATATATATGTACATAATATATTACATAGATATATATGTATGTATAGATATCTATACACACTTTCCCGGTGGCGTTGAATCCCTTCCTCTCAATGTGCTTGCTTCCCCATTGTTCATTTTTCAGAAGGCTCGTTCGTCCGGGCCGCCGAGCCTTTTGAGTGTTTTGAACGATTCACAGATAATTCCCGATGCGCTTCTTTTCATTCTCACTGAAATAAGACTTTCTCGCTCTTGCCTTTTCTATTCGTCTTTGGTTTGGCATCTACCACACATCCCATTCCCGTTCCTCTCTAACATTTGTTCATCCTTCTCCTTTCACTTATCGAAGTACCTTTATCCTTTTGCAAAGAGCAAAAGAATTCAATGACCCGAGCTCTATCTATCCCTTTGTCTTTTCATATTCTTTCATTTTTATTTTATTGCTCTTCTACTTTTTACCGTTCAGTTCTCTATCTATTCTTTTATCTATGGCGGTTCCCTTTCAATAGAATTCTTTTTTTTTTTATTATTTTATCGAATTATATAAATATCTAGAGTAACAAATGTAGAAATATAATTATATTAATCATAGAACAATACAAATAATGTAAAATTTAATCGAACCAAAGTAAGTGGAACAGATTATATTTACCTATAACAATCTTTGTATAGATATACAAAGTATGACTTTTTATTTAATTTTCTTATTTCCTTTTTTTTTCTGTCTATAAAATATAACTCTCTCGAGTTTATAGTTAAAATATATATCGTAAGCTACGAAGATTGAATTGATTTGCAATAAAAAAAAAAAGATGTAATGAAAAACGCATTGAAATACCCTCTGTAGCGAAAAATTATTTTTTACGATTGAAAGGTATTTTTTTCTTTTTTATTGTTTCTTTTTTTTCATTGTACATTCATTTAATCTCTATGGCTTGAATAAAATTAAATTGTATACTCGATAAAAATATATTTTAGCAAAATAATTAAGTGAAGAATCATACTTTAAACAATAAGTGTGTAAAAAGTGATATAAGAACATTTATTCTGTGTCAATACTTTTGTTCTACAGTGTATAATAGACTCTTTAGTTCGTTGAAATAATTTTTGTATAGTAATACTTTTCTTTCTTTTTCATATTCATATTAGATATAGATATATCATCAAAGTACACTATGTTAACATCGTTGCGTTTAATTATTACTAATCGTGATTGCATATAACAAATAATAATATAATTTTATTGTTTTTCTTCATGGGATCGTATTTCATTTGTATATCGGGTATATCATCCATTTGAAATAACACTTTTATAACTATTTATATTTCGAAGAATGAACGATAAGGAGGCAAACGAAATAAGCCGATTAGATTTTTACAGGTGATTATAATTATTTATTAAACAACTGAACCTGCAATCTACGCTCATCCCTCGTAAATACTTACGACGATCGGAGTGTATTTCGAGTATCGTTTTATTTTTCGTCATATATTGTATTTTCCATTTCTCTCTCTCTCTCTCTCTCTTCCTCTTTAACGTTGGTACGATTGTATTTTTACTTCGCTTTTTACAACGCATTTGGCTTAACGTTCGCCAAAAAAATGTAATCTATTCGTCCTCGGAAATAGCACATTAATAAAAAAACACGCGTGTAGCTTCGCGTTCGTGTTTCTGTTCGTAATCCGATATAGGATTACGGCAACACCGAAGAGCGATCGAAATAGGAACGCTTGTTAATATTCCAAAATTTTCCTGTGAGCGTATTTTTCCATCCGATTAAAAACATTGGTTTATTAATCTCCTACTCTTTTTATCTCTCTTTCTCTCTTTTTTTTTTCTTTGTCTTTCTTTCAACGTTATTGGTTCGTCCCATGAAAAAAAAAAAAAATTTTTCTATTCATACATTGAAGCGAAAGAGAAATAATAAAATAAATCTGATCTCTGAAAACTATACAATTGAGTTTATACTTTTAAATAAAGTACAAACACCATTTTATCTCTCCATTATGAAATTGAATATTGCATATTCATATTTAAAAAATTCATTATGTAAGATTTCATAGCTTAAATTATGCGTCTATAATATTCGTACGAGCGATAAGTATAAAACAACATTTTCATTTAAAATTAAACTTTTTTTGAGCGATAAAAGATTTGTTCAGGTAAACAAAAATAATCGATTCTGAGTAACCTTTTTTGTCAAGCTTGTTTAGATTAATAAGTATAATAATAAATATAGTTTGAATATAATTTGATATTAATGTGAGAATGAGATAGAATGATACTATGAACAGAGAAAAAAAATGAAAGAAGGAAGGCCATATGTGTTGAATGAAAAATAAAAATAACAAGTATCTGGAAAGATAATTCGAAAGAAATGATTAAAAAAGTAAAGATATATAAAGTGTTAGTATTGTTACTATTAACTTAAAATTGTATTATTTTCACATGAAAACTATTCGATATTATTTATGTTTTTAATCTTTCTCATTTTTCCCATAACAAATTATTAACTGTAAGTTTGGGGTAATAAATTGTAGCTATCCATAAGTGGATTTTAGACGATCAATAATAATGGTACTTCTAGTAATGTCATAACTCTGATCATTCCTTCTTCATTACCTACCACCATTCCATCTTCGTAGCTCTTAGATGAGTGATAGTACTGTCATTGTGATTAGATAATGTCATATACAAAATGTATTGTACATGTAGGATGTTAGTTGAATTTATATATAATAAATGTGAATGAAATTTTGTTTTTTACAGATAAGGAGCAGTATCCAATAGAACCATTACCAACATGTACCCACGCCATGAACGAGTGTCAACGAGCGAAGCTGTGTAATCAGATCTTGGAGAACTTCAAAAACAGCTGTAAAGCACGAGAGGGCAAGTGCAGAATGGAGAGTCGGTGAGTGATATTAAGCTTGTTGGCTCTTCCTATTTAATCTATTTCATTAATTTATATTGATCGAAAAATACTCAACTAATACTCGCAAACAGTTCATCAAATGCAATATCTACTATAAGAAGTTCTTTTTAAACGAACTATTGAATATTGGATATAATAATGAATATACGGTCAATGAGAATTTTACCATTAACCATAGCACAAATGCTTCTTCATTTTTTAAACAAATCTCCCTTTATTTCTATCCTCCTTGTTTTATTTTCTTCTCTTTTTTTTCATTACCTCTTGAAACTCCCATGCATTGTTTTCTTTATATATTTTTTTTTCTCCTATGTGCGTATCATTGTTCTTATTCAAACGTATTGTTTGAAATTGAAATAAATTACGGCTACCTTTTTCACGAATTTTTCCTTCCGTTTCTTTTTTTTACTTTTGTTTTTGTTCGAAAGGAAACATATACAAAAAAATGAAATAAATAAATAACGAAGTGAGTTTTAAGGTAAAAGAAAGACTGGCAGATTTGATTTCTTAAAACTTTGTTCGTAAAGATCATTGATGGAATCAATCGACCGACGTCATAGTTTTAACAAGTTATGAATACCAGTTTACTTGTTTCCTTTATCTTGTTTCTCTTGTAAGAAAATTTCCACGAGCACTTTGTAGTGATTCCATTAAACTGAGATACTTCCTTCTTAATACCGTAACTCACTAAGTTTATCGTCAAGTCGAAAGTATCTAGGAAACTTTAAAAATCGCCCTCGGGTCTTGATGTATACGATAAACGTTTGTGCGTGTTGAACACAACCTGCCATGAAAGAGAAAGAGATAGAGATAGAGAGAGAGAGACTTACCGTTATCCGATCAACTTCAAATTTTGTACAGATTATTTTTTCATCAAGTAACAACATTTTAAACAATGTCTTTAAAACAAATTTGACGATTTCAAAATTAAATCTATTTTAATATTACTTATTATATATATCGCGCAGTATAAAACACAGTAATCCTATTTAAATACGAAAAGAAAATATTATGTTAATGTTAATGTAAGTTTATTTTTAGGACAAAAAAATATAAGAAGAAATCTTCACTACGAAGATAGAAAATTAAATATAAGTATTTGGTAAGCAATCGTGGATTCATCGTCGCGTGTGTCTATTAATATCACATTTTATAATTAAAATATTAAAAAGTACAGAATGATTTTTTTGATAAAAGAATAAATTCATTTGAATGCGTGTTACCGTTGGTATACTCTTTGCAAGATTACGAACGAGAAAAACTTTGATGAACACTCGTCAACAAACTTTTTCAAAATCAAACTATATTTATCCTTACTTTTACTTCAGCGTATATGTTTTCTTTTTTCTTCGAGATATAAACACGCGAGGCAGTTATAATCCGACCGTCTTACTGTTAACACAAGTAAACGCGTGCCTCATAAGAATATTATTTAACTTTGTATATTTCAACACATAACTTCAGATTATTTATTTATAATTATTAATTATTAATTATTATCGTTCGTTCAACTAATTGAATTCTCATTCTCTAATCGTTTTCTATTAGTTTCTTATCAAATCAAAAGTGAATTCTTTATAAATACCCGAGAGAGATTTATTTTCTAATTTATTTTATTTAATATTTAAACTAATTCGTTTATTAATTATGTACGTTTCTTTCTTGAAGTAGTATTTGGTTTCTCACAGTCGTTGACGACGAGAAACTGACGAAAATCTGTGTCAAACGGCTATTTAATTGTCAACTAATTTAATTTCAATAAATCTTTATTAATAATTCATTGTTTTTTAATTATTTAGCAGGCTTCTTCAAATCACAAGAAGATCTTTAAACATGTGATTAATATTTATATAATTTTCAATAATCTAATCGTCATTTCGTTATTATTTAAAAATTCATCAGATAAAAAGTGGAATTTGATTTAAACCAGAGCCGTCCAACTGGAAGCCCAATGAATTTATTTTTGCCGTTCGCGAAGCAAATCAATTTTTAAAAATATAACTTTAAATAAACATCTATTTTATACTAAACTACATAATTAAAATGAATGAAAACGTGTTTTATATAGAAAACTTATAACAGCGGCCGTTATGTAATGTGATAGTATTTTTATACTTGCGTATGCAATAATTTTTAACGTTAATTGACTTTTTGATTATCTATCCTTCTTTGTTCTCCGAAATATTAGTAAAAGAAAAAACAGCACGGGGATTAACAATAAAAGAAGTTTGACAGCTTGTTTGACAGTTGTTGTGGATGGACTATTTTTATTTTGATTTATTTATTAATGAGAAAAATATGTTTTTGACGTAGAAATGATTTTCAGCGTGTACTGAAAACGATACTCGTGATAGGGAGAACACGTTAATAATAAAGAAACGAATTATTTTATAAATTTAATTGTGTGTGTGTGAATCGGATACTAATTGAATGAAAAAGAAAAAAAAAAAGAGAAAAGAAAAGTTGTTACTTCTGACAGGTTTTATATTCGACAAAAGAAAAGATCTATTGTTAGGGAATTTTATTGTTGTTGAATACAGTTAGGATTTTCTTTCAACACCAAACATCGGGGAGCCAACGATGCATTCGCCATCGGACTTTCTCTCGGAAATGACGAAATTTTGAACGTTTCTCGTTCCCTCGAATCGGCTACCATCAACAGATAGACAGTCAGAACGGTCTGAACCAGACGATTCGCTCTAATTTCTGGTTTGAATTCGGCTTAACTGGCAAGCCCCTCTACGCGAGTGGGCGTTCGTTCTACCTCTTTTCCAGTTTGTCAGGAAAATTCAACGGCTCTAAAACAATCGGGCAAACGTGAAAACTGCATCAAAATCTCCGGCGTGAAATTCACGTTAATTGTTTCTACAGTCTTTTCCATTCGTTCTTCTTCCCAAATCCCGTTCTCTCTTTCTCTCTCTCTCTCTCTCTCTCTCTTTTTCTCTTTTGACCTTTTTCTTTGTCTCGTTTACTTTCTCCTCACCGTAGAGTGTAAAAACTATTCTTTTACCGAACATTTTCAACTTCTTGGTTAATGTTTTATTTTTCTTAATATATAAAATAATTAGCAGATAATTACGTTAAACGATGAAATGTAAAATATCGTCACAGAAAGTATGGCTTTTTAAGAAATGGAAAAGGAAAAATTGATTATTGCAATAGCGTAACGTAAAACCTAAATTTTATATTCTCTGTCTGTGAATGCATAAAAGGGTTTAAAATATGCTTAGAAAATTTAATAGAAGATAAAAAATAGACTTATTAGTCACATAAAATTAGGTAATTAAATGAAGATATACTTTCCGGTAATTTTAAAGTTATCTTCCGAATGCTTTATTAAAATGTATCTGTGTAATGTAAAGGTAAATGTAAGAGAAAATCTTACTCGTGAAATTACATTAAATTTTAAAACGTAATTTTGACGATCTTTGCGTTTCGTCCGTGACGTATATATGTATGTATGTGTATATTCGTTGATGAGTCTAAAAGGGTTCATATAAATTTAGAGAAAATATCACGAATATAGTTCGTATGAAACTTTCATATTGAAACGAGTAACGCTGATATTATTATTATTTTATTACTTCGTACTTTAGTTCATTAATTCTATGTTCTTAATAGATAAAGAAATATCATGAAGTGAAGAAAGTTACGCGATTGGAAGACAAAATTGTCTTTGATTTTTCGATTTTACTTTCTTGAACCAGCGATTCTTTCCTTTGCTATACTTTATCTTTATTAAACCTGTCTTCTTCTTGTCCTTCGTATCCATTTTCATTGCACCAATTCGGACTGAAACGGGTTTTCTTTTCGTTTCGATTGTCGATTTCATGAGATTAAAAATACAGAAATTGTCAATGTAAGAACATTGAAGAAACGAAGTTTAAACGATTGGAAAAGTTAGATTGTAGGAGAATCGATGTAAGAAAACTTTCGAGTTTACTTTCTCGATATTTTTTTGTGCTCTCTGTAAAAAGTACGTTTAATAATTCCATATAATTTAAACATTTTTTCAATCCTTTTTATTTTTCAACGTTTAATATAGAGAAAATCTCTTAATATAACATGTTTTACCGGACGTTTAAATCGTTGGCTTTACATCATATTCATTTTATAAGGACAATTTTAAAACGATGATAATTTTTTATTAACCATACTTTTTCGTTATAGCAACATCATGTTTCGTAAATATTTACCTCGAGATGATGCAAATAGTCTTTCATTTTTATTCGAATTTACCTATCTCATTTACGGTTCAAATTCTTCTTTCCGTTGTATATCATGCTTAAATCCTTGCTAAACATTTCAATTGCCAAAGAAATATTTACTCGCGAAAGAGATGGGGTAAAACGAATAAAAGAAAAGGAAATAAAAGATAGAAAGAGAGAGAGAGAGAGAGAGAGAGAGAAGAGACAAAACGAGATGGAGGGTGGTAATAGAAACGATGTTCGTTGTCGATTTAAAAGACAACCGGATTTTTGTTAACAAGCCTAACTTACAATCAGTTTGCTTATTGGTGTAAAATGCGAAATTCGCGTGACAGAAGCGATGAGAATTATCAAGAATAAGCATAAGTAAGAAAGCTAACATATACACAGATATTTATATTTAACGAACTTAGAGAAAGAGAGAGAGAGAGAGAAAAAAAAAGAAAAGATGCGATTCGATTTATGGCAAATTGGGACCGTAAATGGAAAATGGAATGAATATCCAAGCTCAGAAGTGGCCCAACGATTCGAACAGAGAGAAAAAGATAGAAAAGCCTTGAATCGTTCCGATTCGTTCATTTTTAACAAATTCATGGGGTTCTTCTTCAGATATCCGAATGGAAAAGGGAAAAACGAGTTTGCAGAGCAATGCGAATATCTTCGCGCTTCCTTTCTATTCCTTGCATCTTTCCTCGCTTTTCTCTTCTTTTTCGAGCCACCCCCTTCCACTTTTTCAAACTCTACTCAGCCCTTTCTTTTTTTTTTTCTTCG